TTCAGACCTTACTTTTGGTCAATCCCTTTTGGGTGGACTTTTACCAACGAGGGGACAGGTAACTTCAGGGGTTTGATTTAGAAACTATATTTTTTGTCTTTTCTGTATTGCACACTCATTGTATCAGAGCTTCTTTCCATTAAGAGTTCTTATATGTTTGTCTCGATGCAGAGGATAGTAGGACCTATTTAGAGCAGGCATGTTTGGGGGTTCAGGGGTGCCCCTCTCCCTGCCCTGCAACAATAGGAGTTCAAATTACAGTAGGGGATTACCTATCTAGAAGTGATTTTTATATTTTTAAACGGTTGGGAAAAAACTCAAAGGAAGAACATTTCGGGCCCTCCCTGGTGGCACAATGGGTTAAAGTGCAGCACTGTGAAGTGATGCACAGCCATTGCAGCATAAGCTCGATTCCCAGATAGGGAGCTAACCCACAAGGTGCAGCAGACCTTTCCTGACCTGCCCACTGCTCCCCTCAGCAGTGTATTTCAGTCAATGCCTATTCTGTTCCCCACTGTCTCTGGTGAATCCTCTCGCCCCCTTCACCTCTGGCCTACACCCCAGTTCTTGCATGGATAAATAAATAAGTCTTAAAAACAAAGGAAGAACATTTCTTAATATGAAAATTACATGAAATTCACATTCCAGTTGCAGTAAATACATTTTTACTGGAACACAGCCACTTTCACTTCATGTATGCATTATATAAGGCTACATTCTCACCATAACCATAGTTCAGCAGTTGCCACAGCAACAGCATAGCCCTCAAAGCCTGAAATATGGTCCTTCTCAAAAGAGGTTAGCTGACCCTAGAGCTATACGAGAAAATGTAATGCTGCCACTCAATTAAATGCTGGGAGTCACAAGTATTTGCATGTAATTACTAAAAACTTACACCTCAGTCTCAGTTAACTCAATGAAGCTGGGCACTCCCTGGTGGCACAACGGGTTAAAACACAGCACTATGAATTAATCCACAGCCACTGTAGCAGTTCCATCCTGGCCAGGGAGGTGACCCACATGGCACAGCAGACCTCTAGTCTCTCCCGCTGCTCCCCTCACAGTGTGTTTTAGTAGATCCACCTGTTCTGTTCCCCACTCTGTCTCTGGTGAATCATCTTATCCCCCGCACCTCTGGTCTATAACCCAGTTCTTGTGTGCATAAATAAATAAAATAAATAAATGAAGCTCCAACCATGTCTCTTCTCCACCAAAAAAAATTTTAATCCTCCCTGCCTATAAAGAAAAATTTTAAATACTTAACAAGTACTTCATAGTCAAGGCCTTGTCCATTCCAAACTCATCTTCTAAACCTCCCAACCCTGATATTTCAGATGACTTGAATTATTTCATATCCTGTCTTTCTGTGTTATCCCAACCATATAAAATGTCCTGTGCTGAATACAACTGCAATGAAGTAAAATAAGCAGGACCTTTACAGCAGGACTATGTTCTAATTCAGACTTTTGTCCTCCTTACTTGAAGAAAGTTATTTAACACCTCTTAATGTCAGCTCTCTCATCTATAAAGTGGAAATAACAATTCTAATAATGAGAACAAAATACCACATAAGACTTTACAAGAATTAATTCTTGGCATAACATCTAAACAAGCTTTATGTTATTCATTCTGTCTAATTTCAGCACAATTTTTCTTTTGCTTTTCCTTGTCCTCTCACCAGGAAATCAGCTCTTCCTCTAATGGTACATTTCATGGTATCTGCCTGTCCCACTCTTAGAATTCTGATGACAGCATTGTCAACATAAGTCTTGTCTACTCTTTTAGCCCTAGAACTCCTTGAGGGTAGGATACATCTGTGACTCACTGTCACAACTGTGACAGCCTGAGAACAATGGCTTGAATATAGCATGTGCACAAGTATTTACTGAATGAATGGTATGTGTCTACTGAACTATATATAACAATATTAGGTATATCATGTTGCACTGGCATATAAGCAAGTACTACATCACTTGTTCTGAATAGTGCCTACCTTAAGTGCTTAGAAAATATTTCAAACATCAAGGACTAAAACTGCCAACACAAAAATCAAAGGACAAGCAGAAAAGTAGGCAGTGTATTCAAGTTTCAATGTGATAGTGCTTTTATTTTCCATTAGCACCAGCATGATCATCATCTTGTGCTCCAGCAATTATAAATAGTTCATATTTAAAGGAGGAGACTCAAGGGAGACATGCTGCACATCATAACATCAACTACCTCTGAGCACAAAGCTAAGTAAGTCTACATATTCAAACAGGGCCTACATTTAATGAATTAATCAATCATCATAGTCATGATAAAACTTTATGTACTAAAACAGACACCAGCAGGATAAATGCAAAAGTCTGATTCCACCTCAGTTGTCAATGTGAACAAAACTGTTGCTGGTTTTGACAGCACAATGCACCAAGTTTCATTTGTTCCTAGAAACACAAGCTACTTGACTTGATGGTAAATTCAGTACATTAAAAAGATGTCAACAATTTTTCCTGAATTTTAAGGCCAGATTCCAAATGTCAAAATGAATCCACGCAAATGAATACAAAATTAAATTGTTTAGACATGCCAATATAGGGAGTGACATTTGCCAGTGGGATGACACTAAATAATATGTCTGCTTCCAACTACTACTGCTTAAGTATTTCCCTTCTGAAAGCAGGGAATGTGTTTCTATAAGAGGAACCAACAAGTTTATCAACCTAATGTATTATCAACAATTCACAATGTTTGGCCGTTTCCGTTTACAAAGCACTTTCACAATCCATCCTTTGAGCTGCCCAGCAAGCCTGCGAAATGGGTATATACACCATCATTTTACAAATGAAGTTAAGTGATTTGTGTCAGACTCCAAGATGGTAAAGCACAGATTGTAACACAGGTCTCCTAAATCCAATTTCAGGCTTCTCTTTTTCTTTATCTTTCACACAAAGTAAGAACATACCTTTGCTTCGCTTCCACCCACTTACTCCCAAAATGGCACACCACTAGCACCGCAGAGTGGGAGTATAAACATAACAGTGGGAAACATCCCACCATCGCCTCTAGCTAATCATGTGTTTAGAATGACACAACTTACAGAAAGAAATGGAGTGTGGATTGACTGCTGGGTTATATTTTCCACCTATCCTATTTTTGGCTTTCTATGTATACTCTGAATCAGAAACCCATCATGACTACCTCTAGACCAAAATACCTCTCAGATCTGTCGCCCACATGCAAAGGTCTAGTGGTGCAAAATTGTTGACTCTCACCACTTTGGGTCTCAGAAAAGGAAAGAATAACAACCACTGTTTTTTCCCTAGCTTATAAAATGTCTGCCCTTCCCCAAATGTTGTATGGAAATGCCTATGTTTTCTTAAGCAATCCATCTCTCTAATGTGCCTTATTAGCTGGTAATTTTTTTAGCAACTAAGTGTACCATACACTTCTCTAAGCCACTCTTTTTCTGTAGCTTATTTAGAGCTGCATTTCACAGTTGATACTGCACCAAGCAGCTTACCTTAATAAGTAAACAAAAGGAAAATGCAAAAATTCCACCTCTCCTTTCAGGGCACCCTCACCTTTCTATTTTTGTGGCACAACCTGCATATCTTTAACCTCTCGATGAACTCAATTAAGTGGTGGCAAACTCCAAAGTCTGGCCTATGTCTCTTAAGGATCAGCATTTCAAACATCTCATCTTTAAATTGCTGCTGAGAATTTACTCTGTTGAAGCCACAATAGGACAAACCATTCAATAATCAAACTCAATCAAATGACTAGCAGGAACTTGGACAGTTTCTTTACTATGACCAAAGTGCCCTGCCAACACTTGCTGGGAAAGCAGAGACTCCAGCGAGGCAAATCAGAAGAGCTGCACAGACAACACCAGTAAGAGCTGCTAGAGTTGCCACTGAGCTGCCACTTCCAAGCCTTTTGCCCTGCTCTTAGTTGGCTTGGACCCGCCTTATGAAGGTTCCCACATTTTACCTAGATACAGTATTTTGGGAACAAATCCATGCAGAACGAAGTTTTAGGCATACAGGACATACTTGCCAGTGACTTTGACTTTATTTTTCAGTCATCTTTCAGTCAAGAAGAGAAAAATTTAATGATCATGCCACCCAATTGTTATCGTCCATTCTTCTGGGTATGTATTTGCGTATAAAGGGTTGGCTTTCCTGAACTCTTGTTTCAGGATGTTTATTATTCCTTCTCTTACTCCAAGCCTTTTGCCAACTAGCAGAAATAAAAACTCCACACACAGTGGGGAAGGTGGGGGAAGGCTTCCACAGCTGTCAGTTGAGACCACTGGGAAAATCAGGCTTAAGTTAGGTTCCTTCCAGCCCGGTGGCTTCCAACCTTAGCCCTATATGTTGCTCACTGGGAGCTGGGTTCTTTGTGCCAGGGACTAGACAGGTCTCTGTTCCACCCTCAAGCTGAAGTCAGTGGCATGTGAGACCATCCAATAATTCTGAGCATAGACCTTAACTTAAAGCACTGGGGTAAAGGTGTTTTCTTTAGAAAAGAATTTGCTGGGGGGCATTTTTATTTACTGTTCCCACACTTATCTGTAGCAACAAGAAGCCAGGATAAAACCATTACTCGGGGTGCTGGCTTAGTGTCCAATTCTCTAGGAGGTGCTGGGGCATTTCCTTACTTAGCCTGGATGCCCCCACACCCCCAGACATGAGGAGCCAAACATGTCGGCCAGTACAGGTCGGTCTGAAGGAACCCTGAGCCAAGTAAGAGTACTTGCAGAGCCAGAGGGCCTCTGGCACAGCTACAGATGCTGTCTTATAAGGTCAAAGTCACTAAAGGAAAAGGCCAAAAGCCCTGTGGTAGCCTCTAATCCCACTTCCACCGATCCCGCTTCCCGTGTGTCCATAAACCCATTCTCTCCTCAGACCTGAGCTAGGAATCACCCTGAATCCTTCCTCCCTCTGTCACGGTGTGTAAGAACTGCCAGGCCAGCGCCACCGGCTGAGGAAAACAGCTAATGGAAACCTTCCACTTACTTCTCATTGCGCCGATAAGAGCGTTGCCGTCTTTGATCACGTCTTTGATGAATTTATTGGTCCTCTCCAGCTCCTGTTCATAACACTTGAGCCTCTCTCGGAAATCGGGGCTGTCCAAGTAGCAGTCGCTGAACTCCAACGGGGGATGCCCCATGGTTCTGATGGCGGGGGTTAGAGGGAGGAAGGAAAGACACAAAGACCAAGAGCATCAGTGGCACAGTAGGGGGAGCAGATGGGATGGACCGAGTGTGGGTCCAGCTGAAAGCTCTGAGCCCCCGCCCACCCACTCAGCCCCCGCCTTTTGGAGGGCAAATACCTGTTCGAAAGGGAGAGCTGGTAGGTCTGTACCGGAAACGGGTGGCCGGGCGACGGCCTCAGGTGGCAGGACGGGCAAACAAACGCGGCGTAATCCCTGCGGAGTGCTGCCTAACAAGCAGCATGCCCCCTAGGCATCGCCTCCCTCCGCCCGCAGCAGAAACCGCGGCGCAGCCAGCTTACAGAGAGCGGCGGAACCCTCCCGAGCGATTGCAAAAGTAACACTTCGGCCCGCCCTGGGTGTGGGCGGAGGTGAACGCCGATCTGGGCCGCCTCCGCGCGCTCCTGGCTTCAGGGCTCGCCGAAGATTTCCTTTGCTCGACTCGCTGGCGACCCTGATTGCACCGTCCCCTCCCCCTTCTTAAAGCCGGCGCTTCCGCCCAGCGGATCCCTTAACACCCAGCCCGGAGCGCCCAGGCTCCTTCCTCAGCTGCCTGCCTAGCAAGCCAGGATTCGTTACCAGAGTCCCCGGCTCCCAGGACTTCTTCCTGCCGGAGGAGCGGGCCTAGTGGCCTGCTAGGCGCTGGAAGGGTTAAGACCCCAGGGCGCTGAAATGTCGCCTTTCCCTTTAGACGACCCAGCGCGAAGAACCGGGCGAAACCACGACGCACAGTATTTGCTGGAGCCTTTCGTTTCCCTGCGGAAACTGGGGAGCAGTCAGCGCCCTAGGACTCCAGCTGGAAAGCGTGGCGGCCTGGGAGATGTAGTCTTTCAGCTTCATGCCCCATGACTCCTCCCTGTGATCTCCCCACTATCCCGCCGGGGCTCCCATTCCCAGAAAGGCAGCACCGCCTCGCCCAGGCTTACCTCGAGGGGGCAGGTGCGCCACGCTGGACTGTGGATGGAAATTTTCCCGACACTGGAGCTGGAAGGAAGGAAACGGATGGAGGACGCCCCCTCTCATTTCATTATTTGGCCAGATTGTTCTTTTTCCTGCCTCTTTATCAGCCTCCCTTTGACACCGACTTCTTTTCCTCTTCACGTTCCATTTCCCCTAACCCTCTAATTCTCAAGGACCTTCAGCCTGAAGGACTGACACTGACAAATGGTTTATATCTATCTGTTGGTGTTGGAATTCTTTTCCAAAAACTGGGAGTAGTAATTCGGGGTTCATTTTTTCCCGAATAGAACCTCACGGCTTGGAATTTTTGTGACATAACTCATTGCCCAGGCCATTGATAAAAGCATGTGATTTTCCACGTTTCAGCACAAACTCTAAAAAGAGGATGTTACCAGCTGTTTTGTAGCTTTACTTAAGAGGCCTCTTGTCCATTATCCATTGTAGGAGGACTGGGTCTACTCTTACTAGCAGCTACCCTGAGAATAGATAAACACTGGGTAAACTGAAAAATAGCGTGTACATGGGCAAATAATCCTTTTGAATTTTGGAGAAGTGTTTAGACTATACTGCCCAGTGAAGAAAGCCCAAGAGGAGCCAAAACTGAAGGGGGTCGTAAATAGAGTAATAATGTCTAACCCAGCTGTGTTCCCATCCTATTGCTGCTGTAAGGAGTGTTCACAAACTTGGTGATTTAAAGCAACCCAAATTTATCATCTTACAGTTCTGGAGGTCAAACACCTTTCTAGGGCCTCTGGGAGAGGAACTACTCTTAAGGGTTTCATGCTTCTAGAAGCCGTTCACATCAGAGCATTGCACAGTCATTGATGAAAGTACATGATTTTCCATCATGTGGGGAAAGTTTTTAAAAGAGGGTGTTATTATTTGTCTTGCCGTTTACCTAAGAGGTTTCTTGTCCATTATGCATTGAACAATCCTTCAAAACCCACCAATGGTTGATGCTTTTCTATCACTGTACCACTCTGACATTAATTCTCCTGTCCTTCTTTCACTTCTAAGGAACTACTGAATAACAGGATAATCTCCCTGTCTCAGGATCTTTATATCACATCTGCAAATTCCCTTTTGACATGTGTGGTAACATGTTCCAGGGCTTAGGACAGGAACATCTTGGGAGGAGCATTCTTCTACCTACCACGGGACCTATAATCAGGTTAGTTTCTTTCTTACACCCATTTAAAGATGAGATAGCTGAGTTGCAGAAAATTTAAATGACCTGCCCAAAGACACACAGCCATTAAGTGGCAGTGCTTGAACCTGAGCCTAGCCTGGCTGGTTCTAGAGGGAGTGTTCTTACCCATCACACTGGAATACTGTATGGCAAAACTCAGCGAAAACATCCTCTGAAAATTAGTAGTGCTCTATACGGGGAGGATTTTACTTGTTGCTTTTTCCTTTATCTCTTTATCTTTCCTTAATCTTTATTTCTTAATCTTTTGTTCTATGAGATAATGTTCAAAATAGGCTTTAAAAGCACCTATGCAGGGTACCAAACAAAGTGTCAACTGAATTGGTTTATGGTCTTTCATTGTACCAAGTTTCCTGATACCACTCATTCACTCATTCAACAACTATTTATTGAACATCTGCTATATGTCTGGATTTAAGGCGCTTACATCTGTATTTTTATCACTCTGAACATTACCATTAGCATTACTGATGTCAGTTATAAATCATGCTTTTTTTAACTTCCTATTCTCAGTGTTTTACTATAAGCAGTGCTTCCTATACACAGTGCTGTGTAATTCCTTACACAATGAAACTAAAATACCAAGGAAAGCACTCTCCCTGGACCAAATAGCAAAGAAGAAAGAGGGTTAATATTAAAACTGAGTCTTTCAAATAATTGCTACATTAATTGAAGTTATCATAGATGCTTTGCACACATTGTACTTAACCCTGAAGAAACGCATAGGCTTTAGGTCTTTAATTTTTTATTACTCTATCTCCTAAAAGATTCTTAATTCTCAAAAAGCTAAAATCTCTCTCAAACATTTTTAATTGTATTATTTTGTATTGAGGTAACATAGTTTTAAAACACTATAGATGATTGAGGGGTAAAGGTTTACACATATTCACACATGTTACCACACCACCCCTACCACCAAAGCATCCAAAATTCACCACCACAACCCACTGCGCCTCCTCCCTCTTTTGAGTCTCACCCCACTGTCCTCCAATAGCCTCAGTTCTGCAGTCCTGTTTCTAGGGTTTGTTTTGGCTTAGTTTTGTCAGTTTCCTTTGTTTGTTTGTTTATATTCCACATGAGTGAAATTGTCTGGTATTTATTGTTCTTTTTTTTTTTTTTCTGATCTATTTTATTTAGCATAATCCCCTCCAGTTCCCTTCAAGTCACAAATGGCAAGATTTTTTTTAATAGCGAATAGTAATCCACTGCTCGGTGAATAGTATTCCATTATGTATATATACCATATCTTTTAATCCTCTTCTCTGTCCTTGGACCCATAGCTTGTTTCCATAACTTGGCCATTGTAAATAGCACTGCACTGAACACAGGCGTGCATATACCCCTTGGAATTAGTATTTTTACATTATTTAGGTAGATACCTAGCAATGGCTGGCTCATGTAGTAAATCTGCTTTGATATTTTGAGAAAACTTCATACTATTTCCCATGGGCCTAGAGCAGTGTACATTCCCATAATCAGCACATGACAGTTCCTTTTTCTCCACATCCTCCCACCATTTGTTATTTCTGGTCTTTTTGAATGGGCCGTTCTCACAGGTATGAAGTGGTCTTTCACTGTGCTTTTGATTTGCATTTCCCAGATGATAAATGGTGATGAGTCTTTTTTGTTTTCATGTGTCTGTGAGCCATCTGTATGTTTTCTCTGGGGAGGTTTCTCATTTCGCTTTTCTACCTATTTTGTAATTGGGTTGTTTTCTTCTTGAGTTGCATGAGTTCCTTGGAGAGCTTCAACAGCAGCCCTTTGTTGGGTGTACAATGTGCAAATATTATTTCTTATTTGGTAAGGTGTCTTCATTTAAACGATAGTTTCTTTTTCTGTGCAAAAGCTTTTTAGTTTGCTGTAGTGTCAACTTTTTATTTTTGCTTTTGTTTTCCTTGTCATTGTAGTCAGATCCCCAAAGATGTATCTGAAGGTACTGTTGTGAACTACTTTGTTTATATCTTCTTCTTTTATGTATGTTATGTTTTTAGGACTTGCATCAGAGTGTTTAATCCATTCTGTGTTAATTTTTTATATATGGCATTAGGTGGTGGCCAAGTTTTGTTCTTTTGCATGGGGCTGTCCAATTCTCCCAACACCATTTGTTAAAGAGATTTTCCTTTCTCCAATATATATTCTTGACACCTTCACCATAAAATGGCTATCCATGGGCCCTCCTCAGTGGTGCAACAACTTAAAGCACAGCACTTTGAAGCTGGCTGCAGCAACTTCAGCACAAGTTTGATCCCCTGACCGGGAGTTGATCCACATGGTGCAGCAGACTTCTCCTGTCTCACCTGCTGCTCCCCTCAGCAGTGTACTTTGCCAGTCTGCCTGTTCTGCTCCTGACCCTGTCTCTGGTGAATCCTCTCACTGCTCCTGTACCCCTGACTTGTACCCCGGTTCTGTACGCATAGATAAATAAATCTTTATAACAAAATAGCTATACACATAAGTGTTTACACAATTATTTTTTTTAAAGATTTATTTATCTGTACATACAGAATTGGGATACAGGCCAGAGGCTCAGGGACAGCGAGAGGCTTCACCAGAGACAGAGTGGGGAGCAGAACAGGCAGATCAATGAAGTACACTGCTGAGGGGAGCAGTGGGCGGGTCAGGAGAGGTCTGCCCAGCCATGTGGTCACCTCCGGGGCAGGCGGGAATCGAACTCATGAGGAAGTGGCTTTAGGTTCTCAGTGCTGTGCTTAACCCTCTGCGCCACCAGGGAGGGCCCACACAATTATGTTTTTTACACTGTGTTAAAAATATCACAAAGTTGCCATTTCTAGCATAGTATATGTAGTGACAATTTAAAATAAAGGTCGTATATCAAACTTTAAAAGATATTTATTGGATCCTAAATACCAGAACAATTTGATGCCCTCCCCACCATCAAATGTTAAACACAAACTAAAAAGGTAAAGTAATCTTTTCTTTAACCATTGAAAAGACTGCATTATTGCAAACTAGTACAACCACTATGGAAAACTATTTGGAGGTTCCTCAAACTGCTAAACATGGCGCTTCCCTACGACCCAGCAATCCCACTCCTAGGTATCTACCCAAAAGACACAAAAACACTGATTGTAAAAGATACCTGTACCCCCATGTTTATTGCTGCTTTATTTACAACTGGAAAAACATGGACGCAGCCCAAATGCCCAAAAGTAGATGACTGGATAAAAAAGATGTGGTACATATATACAATGGAATATTACTCAGCAACCAAAAAAGAGAAACACATGTCTTTTGCAGCAACTTGGATGGAGCTGGAAAAGATCATGCTTAGTGAGATAAGCCAGAAAGA